CATGTCCCCAGTCTTAATAAATACCTCTTATTTAGCTTCTGTCATTTTTTTCTCTAAAATTATGTAAGTTTTCAGTTGTCCCAAGAAAACTTTAGACAGACCAAGTAGCAAGTGTTGCCAACCTCATTTGTTAAGAACTTTAGCAAACCATGAAACTCTTACTCAAAAAAGTATGTTAGGGGAAGAAAAGGGAATGGTTTCCATCCTTTAATAGCCTATTTAGGTATTATAGGTGTATGATATAAAGTAACAATTCACATTGCTTTTAGCAGCTACGGGAAAGCCCAGGTGGACCTGTTAGGCTTTGAGCAAAGGTGAAAATGCACGCTGCTCATGCAAAAATGTACTGAATGCAAAAAAAAAAAATCGGTGTCATATATTCTGTTTTTCCCATCATATTGTGATTAGGTGATAGCCTTTGTAAGTTCTTATTCAAAGACCCGGAGTGAAATACATATGGAAAAGAAGGACAAGAGGTCAACTTTGGTATTCTGAGCGACAAGTTACTCCTAACAAAACAATCAACATGACATAATAGCAGTAAAGTGAAATGAAAAAATAGTTATTGTCCCACTGTTTAATCATAATGTAGAAGATGAAGATAAAAATTCCAACATGGTACCTAGAAATCCCCAAATACTGCCAAGGGGCCAGGCAACCATAGCACACTGTGGCAGTTGCGTGCTAAAAAGGAAAGAGGAAAGGAAGCATTTCCCTTAGCTAATCCACGGTGCAGTTCAGCCAGAATGCTTCACAGAGGATCACGAGAAAAGAAAGTTTCTGCCTTCTGCAGCAGCTAATTCTACTTCACACACGTCCAAACTGCAGATGTTTTTGGGGATTGGCTGCTGGCTTACAATGTCCTAAACTTAGACAGCTAGATCCTTAATTTCTTTGGTATTGTAAATCTACCAAGTTAATCAAATAGCCAGAAATTCTTGCACTTTTTTATAGCAATGAAGCACAGGGACAAAAAGATTAATTTTGTTTTTATCAATAGCACTGATAAGAAGGCTAAGAGACTCAGAGTTCTGCTAATCTTCTCAAACTTTACCTATTCAATGTATTCCAAGCATGATTCTTTTATTCTGTTCTAAACTTTAACCCCAATACAAAGCAGGGTTGTTAAGTAAGCCATTGTCTCATTATTCATACAAGTTAAACTCACTCACATCTGGTTCTACCCACTGTAACCTGAGAAAATACATATGCATACATATCATGTTAAAGATATTTTATATATGACATATATTTTTTAAATACAAGTAATTTAAAAAAAATAATTGCTCAGAGCTTCACCTTTGAAAGCACACACTTACTGTCATCTTCTTTAATCTACTGTATAATCTTGATTGAAACTAAACCAGGTATTTATAAGATTAAAGAAATAAACAAAAAACAGAGGCACAGGGAGATTATGATTTGCCTAATGTTTCAAAATCAGTGAGTGATGGAGGCAAGTGATCTAGAATCCAGTGTTTTGGCCCATGGCTCTTTCCATTAAGCAAGAGATTAACGAGGTTGAGAGCAAGTATCATTTTTCAGGACTTACTCTAAAATATTGAAGATGCTGATTTAGTAGAAGTTTTAAAAGAAAGAAAACAAACAAAACAAAACAGAAACAGATTCACTGATACAGAGAACAAACTGGTAGTTGCTAGAGGTGAGAGGAGTGAGGGGATGAACAAAATAGGTGAAGGGGGATTGGGAGGCACAAACTTCCAGCCATAAATTGATTAAGTCAAGGGGACGTAACATACATATAGGGAATATAGTCAATAATGCTGTAATAGATTTGTAGGGTGATGGATGGTAACGTGTTATTTCAATGATCATTTCATAATGTATAAAAACACTGAATCACTATTTATACACCTGAAACTAATATAATATTATATGTTTAATTATAAGTAAATAAAAATAAGGTGTTTACTAACAATAATGTTTGAAACTTTTTTAAATAGAAAATTCATACTCCAGATAAATACAAGTTATATTAGAATTTTATTTGAACTGAATTTTTTATATATCTTGCTTGTACAGGCTTGCTATTTAAATTTTTAAAATCAAGTATTGTATCTGCTTCACCAGATTGTAAGTTCATGAAAGTCATGAAGAATCATCTTATTCAGGATGTCACACCATACAAAAGACACATACACACTCGATCAGCACAGTTCCTTGCACATAGTAGAAAATTCAACAAATATTTGTTGAATGAGTGCATGGATTTCTCAAATAAATGACCTAAAAGTTCCAATAAACATCTGGAATGACAGTTGTTAATTATGTACTATTTCTGAGTTTACTCAGAATGTCCTTCATCTTCATATTCATACACTCATATTTAGATTACTGGGAAACTTCTTATCTAATTGTCAAAACATGAATCCTATATATTCATATAAGTTTTGATTACAAGCATCATTCATACACACAGAGTAATGGCTTCTCTCTGTCAAAATAATTCATGTTTCCTCCTCCGTCCTTCTCCTCTTACCCTCCACAGGAAAGTCAGATTTGAACTGAGATATGATGCACTCTGTATTGGTTTAAATTTTGTTACAGGCAATGAGAATCCACTCTGTTTCACCCTGACTCTCCACCAAGAGTTAACCTCAGCTTAATCTCAGAGAAACAACTGGGGAACTCAGACCCAACTAAAGAGTACACGATGACTAAAATAGCAACAAAGTATCATTGCATTATCAACACTACAAAATCAAGTCCCTTTAGTTTCATCACCACTGATATACTTGCTAAACTCATCTACTTTGTCCTATTTCAACCATCTCCACTGTCTGCACTCAAACTTATATAGTCTTGCACCTAAACAACTAAGATAGCCTCATAACTGATCTCTGTAGATCCAATCATATTCTTCCACCAAGATGTTTACAATCCATTCATCACAGTGCAGTGACAATCACCTTTTGAAAATGCAAATCAATCCTTTGACACTGTCAAGGCTTCCTTTTGCCATTTGGACCAAAACAGAAATTCCTAATGTGGCTTTAAAAGGCCTGTATTACCTCCCTCTACAGTATCATCTCCCATGGTTTCAGTTATCTGTTGTTGTGTAACAAGACACCCAAAACCTTAGCAGCTGAAATAACATGATCATTTATTTGTTCATAATTTTGTAACATGAACAGGGCTTGATAAGGACAGCTCGTTTTGGCTGCATGTGGCGTCAGCTGGGGCCATTCACCTGGTGCACTTCCATGATGGCTCACTCACATGCTTGGAAAGTTGATTCTGTCTGTAGGCTGGGAGCTCAGAGCTGTGAGCAAAGGGCCTCGATTTTACAACTTATGGCCCCCACTACTTGTTGCTAATTGGGCTTCCTCTCAGCATGGCAGCTAGATTTCAAGAAACAGAAAATTAAAACCATCTTTCTTTTTAAATTCTAGTATCAGAACCAGTACAATATCACCCCTGCCATACTTTATTCACCAAAGTAGTCAGAGGCCCAAGTTAGATTCAAGAGGAGCAGTATCTGGACTCACCTACCAGTGGGTGTGGTGACAAAGAATTTGCAACAATATTTAATCCCTCAAATCCATCATATTCCTTCTTTCTTTCTTTGTTCCAGTCTTTTAGCATCTGTTACCATAGAATTTTATATGGATAAGAAAATGAGAAAAATAGATCTAAATCTATATCTGTTCTCTTTAATACTTACACAATTTTACATTGGTGCCATGGCCACATCCTGGATGAAAGTTTTGTAAATTGTACCTTAGGTTAAATTATCAATCTTTATATTACTAATGAAGGTTTCCTGAAAATGCAGGCCCAAAGCATAACTTATGTTTGCTCTTCCTGCTCTTTTCCTAATCTTTTCACACCCTGATGCTCAGTTTGCGATATACCTGGTCTCACTAGACCATCAGCCAGAAAATGAGAGGAAAGATGATACACAAGTACAGAAAGGTGGGGGCGTGGAGGAGGCAGCAAAAGACAGAGAGTGAGCGAAAGAGTATGCAGAGCCCTTAAATAAACACAATTAATTCTGCAAAATCTCTTTAGCTCTACATTTACTTTAACTCAAATATAATAAATCAAACATACTTATTTTGTAAAGTTTCTTCTGCAAAAAAACCCACTAGAAATATTTATATTTGTAAAATATAATCATAATAGATATTTTCAAAAATAAAGCCAACCTATATGCCCAGAAAAAATGGAAGTATTTATAAATTATTTCACAATATTTTAATTAAGAAATAATTTGTATCCAATTAATTGCTTTGAAAGCAAACATTAAACAGAGACATTAGGGATTTGAGCACTATGTTATACCAAAAAGAGATTCAATTTTTCTTTTTTTTCCCTTAAGAGGGATTCATTTAAAGACTCAAAATACATGAAGATTTATCATGAATCAACACTATAGTCAACAAAAATGTATCTGGACTGGTCAAGACTATACACATTCCTGCAGCAAATTTTATACTAAATTCATCATCATCTAAACCATTAAAATGCTTTATAAAACATTATACTCTAGTTCTCAATAAATTGCACCATCTATGAATGCTTAGTACCGAACATGAAATAAATACATCAAGCTTTATTTACTACATATAGATTTTATATCCTAGAAAGATAACCTTCCATATCATATTTCACATGTATAACTGACATATTACACACAGATGAGCTAGAATCTGGTTGTGACATGTAAAAGATGTGCAATGAGGATACAGAGAACTTACAAGAAGAGCCAAACAGTCACAAATTGGTTTCAGCTCAATTTTAAGGTCAAGTTTTGTACATTCTATGAAAAGATTATAGGAACCAGGGCTCTGACCAGACAAAGAGAAAGAGTGAGGTTTCCTGAATAGAATTATTTTTCTGGGCATTTGGAAAGTCAGCTGTTCTTGAACAGTTCAACCAACATGACAGCACAACATACAGAATTCACGAGAAAACCATTCCTTACACTTTCCTATACAGTTTACACATTAGATTAATCTTCTTAAAACATGAGTGATTTACCGTATGCTTCTTTTTAACCAGGGAGACTGAAGAACTTGTGGTTAGTGATCCTATAGGTGAGGAGGAGGAGGAAGAGACCTGAGGGGAATGAGAGCAGTTTCCAAGGAGGTAGAACACTTGTGAGAAAATCTTTGTCTCTGCCACCATGTTGCCTAAAACAATTTCTATAAGATAAAACCAAAGAAAAATCATGTCTTTAGAACTGTGAGGGTAAAAACAAGACGTATCAGGGAAGGATAAAACCAAATGGCTAGTAATAAAGTTATGATTAAATTAGTAAACAGTTTCCTAGATGGAATATGTTGGACTTCCTTAAAAATTAAGACATGAAAATATAAGCTTGAAATAAAGTTCATTGAAAAAATACATTTATAAATTCATTCCGCCACTATTCATATAATTATTACTTATATATACATATACATGATTGTATATACATAAATATGATAATATATAATAAATAAATATACATAAATATGATTATATCAATATATTTATTTATACCATGACAGGTGATAATAGGTGAGTGTTTTACTTCCCATAATTTAAATTGTTTAAAGCTAAATTATACTTTTATTAAAATGAAGAAATTGTGAATACCCCAATGACCATTGTTAGAGAAAATATAAACACTAAGAAGGAATTCTTGGGTAAAACAGATCATGAAACTATAAACAGAGGCAACACCTATTTTTGTTCCATTCTAAGGAATAATAAGCAGGCTTTAAAGGAGAGGCTATGCAAATTGTTGGTCAAAGAGTTGGTCCAGGATACAGACTATTAAGAAACTAAAAACTGATTTTAGCCATGATTGTCTACATTAGTTGGTTTTCTTCAATACTCCCAATATCAAATATTTCTTCAAATTCTTTTGTTGCTCAAAAGATCATATGACATTTTCCACTGCACTAGTATGAAATCCTGTCAGGTTTCTTCTTCTCTTATCAGTCCACCCCTGGGTCTGGGTCTCAATTTCATGCCAAGGTGCTGACTTAGCAGAAATGCCATCCACAGTGGCATGGTGACTTCTACCCCTAACCATGAGACATTTTTCATTTATATTCATCAAGGAAGGACTCCACAGGCATCAAACCATGTACCCAGATCTCAGTTTGTTATTTGATTATCCACCTTAATCCCATTAGACACTGATCTTTTAAATAGCACAAAAACTGCTGACAAAATGCCTCTGCAAACATTAAAAATTCCCCATGTGGGGAGGATTCAATTCCACAATTAGCTTTAGTAAAAGCTGATGTTTACATTTATTTAAATAATAATCAGAGACAATTTCAAGTGAAAATGAAAAGAATTGAAGGTCTTAAGAAAATAAAATCCTGCAGGACACAATGAGACTTGGTAAAATGAGCTGACCTCTTTACTTTCACATTTAGACTCTAATCTGGAAATTCTCAGGAACACTTTCTCCATAAAAGGAAAAATGGTATACTCTCTTCAAAAAGCCATATTCAAAGTCTGTTCCCACTTTATGGAGATCTTTTAACTCACAGGGAGTTTAGGAAAAGTATTATATTAATATTAGTACATAAGTGTACTTGTGGAAAGCAAATCTTTACAAACACTGAATATTTTTTAAATGTTTCCTTTACCAAAATGATCAAGGAACAGAATAAAAGGAAAATTTTAAAAGCACACTTTTATATAAAAGGTTTCTACAAACTTAACAGAATCTTTTTTTCTAAAGACAATGTGAATTTTAGAAAGTCTCTAAAAATCAAAATAGTGTATCAACAAATAGTATAAAATATTCACAATACTGGAGAAATTTTCCATGTAAATTAGTAAGTGTTAACAATCCTCCTGAAAAGACAAATTCGGGTTTTAGTTCTGACTGAATGGTGTTGGCACTATTTCATGGGTGGAAGATAGGAAGGACATATAGGGCTAAATTGAAGTCATTCCCTAAGTTGAATAAGAAATAATTTCTTCTCTTGCTCTTACTGCCCATCTTTATTTTCTTGATGTTTGTCTTAATTGGTACTTAAGTTATTGTATATTTTATCATTTAACATTCATTGTGCAACTACTATGTACTAAGCTTTGAGCTAGGAATCTGAGATACAGTCCCTGACTTTGATGGTTCACTGCTCACTGGAGAACATCAGGAGACACATTCTCTTACAATAAAGAGTCAATGCCCGCTGTTGACAGGAGTGCAAATGGACTTATACATTTTGGAAGCAACTTGTCTTTTTCTTCTGAAGTTGAACAGGCATATATTCTACCACCCAATAATTCCAACTCTAGGTATATGCCCTAAAGTGACTCTTGCCCATGTTTATTCATGGAATGCTCAAGAGTGCTCATAGCAACATAATATTTAAAAGTTGAGAAAACCAAGCATTCGTCTTTAAGAAGATATCTAAACAAATGTAAAATTGTCTCACAATGGAATACAATACAATTGTGAAAATAAATTATCCTCAGTCTACAGGCAATGCTACAGAAGAATATTAGGAATACAGCATTGAAACAAACTGGCAGAAGACTACATATAGTATGATACGATTTTAATAACATGCAAAAAAAAAAAAAGAATATATGTCCATTACATTCTTAAAGATACATGCATACCTGGTTGCACTTTTTTACATGCAAAAGAATCATAAACCCTAAATTCAGCACAGCACTTACCTTCAATGGCAGGCGGGATGGAGGCAGTGGGGGGTGCATCCAGGTAGCTTCAATGGAATTGTCGTAACTAGTTCATAAGCTGTTTGGTGGCCTCACAGTTCATCTTATTACTATGCTTCTTCACTTCCTACATGTTAGGGATATTTTTGTTTGCATCAGATTTCTAAAAACAAACAGTAGTTAATTAAAGGAAAACAACGTCAAGAAACTGCACAAATTCTTCTTGAAGGTATTAGGGAAGGAAGGCAGGTAATTTCAACAGGGCAAGACAGATGAATTAATTTTCCAGGAAAAGAGCAACTCAAAGTCAGGAAACCTTATGAGCAAGGGCCCAGAGATGTGAAAGAGCAGTGTACTGAAATAATGAGAAATAGGTTGGGGCTGGAGGGTAGGACACATGGAAGAAGAGACAGAAGATCTGTGGGAAGCCTTATATGCCATGAAAGGAAGTTATCTTGTAAACAATGGAATGATGCCGATGTCTTGTTTTAAAACAGGTAAGTTACAAGATCATAATTTAGGGGAAGAATAACAATGGTGGCAGAACTGTGGAAAAGAATTAGTAGAGGTAAGATAAGTGTCAGCGACAGCAATTAAGAGAGTGATGCAATAGTCTAGGTGACACAGATGAAGATTTCCATAAAGATTTTAGTGGTAAAGGAGAAGAAAGGAGATGGGCTTAAAGATATTTAAGGGTCCATTATAACTCCATAAACCTGAATTTTTTCTTAAACAAAGGCACTTAAGGGGTAGATTTGGTAACTAAACAGATAGGAATAATTGAGCCATAGACAACCCTAAAATCTGATATTTAATAGGTTGAAAGATGCTGAAGCTTTCAAGCAATTAATATGAGGGAAGAAATGACTTAGCAAGGAAGATAAATTCAGTTTGGGACTTGGTGTTAAGGTTTGGGAGATCCATGTGGATATGCTGGTAGACACTTGAAAGTATAGTAGCAAGTTGATATAGAAATTCAAATTTATGCACTCTAATTAGTAATTGTGACCAAGGAATCAAAAGATGTCTTTGGTAGAGTACATAGAGAGAAAGACTTGAGAGTACCAGGGATAGATGAAACTTCGGCAAAGAGAAATAGAGAGAGAGATTAAAACAAAATGAAAAAGGAAGACATGGCTGAGAGCACTAGACTCTGGAACCAGAGGGATAAGGTTCATAACATCCTTCCACCATCCTCGAGCAAGTTACCCCAACCCTCTCTGCTTCAGTTTTCCCCAGCTATAAAAACAAATATAAGAGCAATTACTTCATAGGTCTGTTTTGTGGATTAAATTAGACAATGTGTGTAAGATGTCTGGCATGTATTTCTTATCCATTCAACAATTTATTAAAAGCATGTACTGTAGACTAGGCGGCTGGCGCGATTGTGCAGGACTGTGGCTGTCCGTTACCTGAGAGGTGTTTGCACGTATGCTGTGATTTGAAAATCCAGAAAGGATACTTTGCTGCTGCTGCCACCACACTCCCCAAACCACCCAATAAATCTCCCATCTATTGATTAGTATCAAAACACTTTTCCTGGTGGCAAGACTTTTAATCCACCACACTAAGTAAGTTTTAAAATGCAGAGTAAGAGAACAGCAACACAATAGTTTAAATTTACAGTAGAAGACTAAAGGGCTAAACTTAGATCCTTTCCCAAGAACATATTTCAAGGGAAAAAGCCATAAGGCACTGAGCACTTGACGTGGAGTGAGAGGACCAGGCCAGGAGACAGCCTCAAGAAAGCTGAGCCTGGAGTGAACATTCAACTCCCTTATCTTGCACTGAACTAACTCCTTCTGACCTAAAAGTTGTGGTGATCTGTGCTTTTCTGTCATAACAAGGAGTCGCTCTAGCACAGGACCTCCATTTTCTCTTTTGCGGACCGAGTGATAAAATCTGCATAATGTACTTGGCATGGTGTCCATCATATAACATGTGATCAGTAAATGTTGTCCACAGCTATCAGTGCTTCAGGCTGTACAAAACTCCTGCTAGCTCACAGTAATCCATCCCATTCTCTCCGGCTGATGTGACGCAACTGTTAAGAAGCACTCTGAAGAACATCTTATGAAGGTGAATTTCTATGCCTGGGAAAGAGATGATAGCGATAAAGGAATAACAACAACAACAATATTAATAAAGAGCGTTTAGCGTGTGCTAGATGCTATGCTATCACATTCCATGCAATACTAAGTACATAAAGTATTTAGTCTGTGGATTATCTCTTTCCTTAACAAATATTATTACCAAATTTTGGCTAAGGACATAGGTTTTTTTTTTTAAAGAAGTATAGTTGATTCACAACATTGTGTTAGTTTCAAGTGTACAGCAAGGTGATTCCGTTATACAGATATATATAGATATATAGATGTTCTTTTTCAGATTATTTTTCATTATAGATTATTATAAGATATTGGTCCTTGTTGTTCATCTAGAATATAGTTATTAATGAAAGATAAGATGGTGCTAAAAATTTGTGAAGGTACCAAATGAAAAATTAAATCAACAATAGAATGAGTTAATAGGTAAGAAATGTGTCATTTCATTAACACCACCATGGACAGCTGCCCAGAATGGCACTGTGATAAAGAGTAACTATTGATACTTTCCCTTTTCCCTCTTTATTTCTTTCTGTCCCTCTTGAAAGTACTAATAATTGACTGTAAAATTCATGTTGCTCCTCAGATATTTTGTAGCTCTCCTCTTACTTTTCATTAGTTTCAACCCCAAGACTTGAAAGCTATCTAATTACATGCTTGCTATTTTTAAGATCAACTACTGTATAATAAGATGAAAAGACAATTTTTTCAAATGGCTAAAGAATAGAAATTTGAGTCCAAAAAAAAAGTGTGAAAGAAATAAACATGGGGGGAAAAAACAGCCAGCTGCTTTCTCTGCTGGTGCCAGTTCAGGACTGAATTTTTCTTTAAGGAGGAACTCAACAAAATGAAGATGAACACACAGAAGCATAATTCAAATTATCATCATTAGACCAGTTATTTAATGCACCTAAACAAAGTTTCTCTAAAATCATATGTGGTTTCTCAGTCAAAAGGTCTTCTTTATTTTTGGTGCCAAATTTTGTTTAAAATTATATTCCTTTTTTAAAAACCTACAATCATTTTAGAGTAGAAGCATATTAATGCTTTATGTACAATTAGATAAAATGTTTTCCAGTGATTACATATTACAATGAAAGGAACATACAATAAATGAAAGAGAAAACCATTTTATTCTGGTTTTAAGTGAATTTGACAAGAGTGAGACAAAGAAAATCATAGCAATGAAGAGACTTTCCTCCTTTTGACATCTTAAAGTACCTGCTTCAGGTAAAAATCATGTTTTTTAAAATTTTCTTCTAAATATTTTTCACAATAAACTTGTTTTTATTTATCAGATATTTACTTTCACATAATATTTTGAGTAGAGGAAAGGAATATCTGACTTTAAAATAAAAATGAATTACTCAAAAACCACCACTGACCAGACGACATCAGAACCACTGAGGAAGATTCATATAATACAGGCTTTTGCTGCCCCCTTTTGGAATAAATAAGCTAACACTATCAAAATGAGTCTGCATTTTACTATCATGTTTCCTACCATTGACACGTTGCTTAAGGAACAAAGAACTAAGACACAATTATCATATGTCTTGTTGTTAAAATATTGAAGATTTATTTTAATTTTAGAGATGCAAAAACATGTTATTTAGCAGAGGATTATTTAACAGTATACTAAATGAAGTGTAATTGTTCTGAACACAACAAATCTCAATTACATGATAACACCACAAACTGAAATAATAATCTTATAATCAATATTTTGGGTTTCATAAAGCCTTATAAATAGTTATAATAATTTAAGTGTAACTTTTTAGTGTAAAATACCAAAGTAAGGAATTTCATTATGAAAAACACTAGAAAAGTTTTTAGTCTAGCATAATTAACAACTGAGTATATCTTAGTTTCTAATATATTTATACCCACTTTGGCAATAACATTGAAATTTTCTGGTTATACTACTATCATTCAAAGCTAGTATTCAAATATATGGTGAGCCTGTAGAGATTTTTAAAATTAGGTAAGTTCAGACAAAGTTTAGGTGTGATCACAGAACTAGAAAAAATCAGAACTAGAAATCATAGAAAAAATCATAGAACTAGAAAAAATCATAATAAAATTTATACAAAACCACAAAAGACCTAGAATTGCCAAA